ATGGGGGTAGATATAGGGATGGAGATGAAGATGGGGCTGGGGATAGTGATAAAGATGGAAGATGAGATGGAGATGGAAATGGGGGTGGAAATGGGGATAAAGATAAGGAAGGAGATGAAGATGGGGATTTGGATGAAATGGGGGAGTGGGTGGGGATGAGGATGAGGGTAGGAATGGGGGTGGGAATGGAAATAGAGATGGAGGTTGAGCTGGGGATGGGATGGAGAAGAGAGCGGGGGTGTGGGTATAGATGGGGATGGGGATGGGATTAAATGGTGAAGGACGTGGGGATGAGGATGAGGGTAGGAATGGGGGTGGGATGGGAATAGAGATGGCGGTTGAGGTGGGTATGGGGATGGAGAAGAGAGTGGGGTGTGGGTAGAGATGGGGCGGGGATGGGAACGTATTAGGGGAAGCCTAAGTGAAGGAAGGCTATGGACTCTGAGGCTCTGCGCTGGCTTTTAGTGAGCTATGTGGGCAGGAATGCCGTACTTAAACAAGAGAAGGGGAAGATGATGCTAAGGGTGATGTGCAGGGGGAAGCGTCTGTCAGCAGCCAGGGCCACCCGGATGGAGATGGCTCCCTGACTGCCGGCACTCAGAGCCCTCCACCAAGAGACAGGTGGTGAGATGCGGAGTGACATTTTCCTAGGACTCACTGCCTGGAGAGCATATTGAAGGGGAGGGTGTGGGAAGCCTGGGCTGTCCGCGCTGATATTAACAGCTCCTCTATGTCATCGTCCATACAGCTGAAGTCTGTTATTGTCTTACGAGCTTGATTTTGTACATATTGCTAACACCTGCTCAGAAATATAACGAGAGACGGCAGCATAGCTTCAATCAGGGTCTGTGTGGGCGGGTGCAGATCTCCAGAGTGTGTGTGTGTGTGTGTGTGTGTGTGTGTGTGTGTGTAAGCACCATGCTGTGCAAAGAACCCTAGCCACAATTTGGAAGGCTAGGGGCCATTCCAAGCTCTGCCATTGACTTAGGGTATGACTGTAGCCAAATCTGTGCCCCTTTCTGATCTCAGTTTGCTTACTTATAAAACGGAAAGTCTAGACCAGAGTTGTCCGACAGAAAATTAACTTAAACCACATATGTCACTGTAAGTTTTCTAACAACCACATTAAGTTTAAAAAAAGAAAAGGTGAAATTAATTCTAATAATATATGTGTTAAACTCAATCTATCCAAAATGTTATCATGTCAACATGAAATCACTTTATCTGACACTCTGCTTAAAAAATTAAGACTTAGGCCGGGCGTGGTGGCTCAAGCCTGTAATCCCAGCACTTTGGGAGGCCGAGGCGGGTGGATCACGAGGTCAAGAGATCGAGACCATCCTGGTCAACATGGCGAAACCCCGTCTCTACTAAAAATACAAAAAATTAGCTGGGCATGGTGGCACGTGCCTGTAATCCCAGCTACTCAGGAGGCTGAGGCAGGAGAATTGCCTGAACCCAGGAGATGGAGGTTGCGGTGAGCCGAGATCGCACCATTGCACTCCAGCCTGGGTAACAAGAGTGAAATTCCGTCTAAAAAAAAAAAAATTAAGACTTCAGAATTCGATGTACCTTACACTTACACTTACGGCACATGTGAACTTGAACAAACCACATTTCAGGTCCTTCCCAGCGGCATGGGGTTAGTGGTTGCTGTATGGGACAGTCCCAAATCTTTCAGGCATTTTCTGGTCTCCTCACTAAACCGTGAATGCTCCAAAGCTGTGACCATGTTTTATTCTCCCAGTCCTTAGCAAGGAAGCTCAAATAAGAATGTTATTAAATCACACTGGCAATAAGCGCAGCTGATATGTATTGGGAACACTTTCAAAACACTTTGCAGGTACTAGATTGTTGAATCTTCAAGAGTACCTCATAATTCCATTTTGCAGTTAAGGAAACCAGGCTCAGAGAGGTTAAGTAACTTGCCCAAGATCACACGGCCAGTAAGTGGTACAGCTGATCTTTGAAATCTGGCTAACCAGATCCAGAGCCCACACCCTTAGCCATTGTACTATGCTACCTCCCTGTTTATAGTAATACAAATAATTAAAATTGCTACCCTGCATTGCAGATACCTCATATGTACCATCACATTTATTCCTCAAAGCAAGCCTCTAAGAAGCCAAGCACAGTGGCTCACAGCTGTAATCCCAGCACTTTGGGAGGCTGAGATGGGAGGATCGCTTGAGGCCAGGAATTCAAGACCAGTTTGGACAACATATCGAGATCCTAGCTCTACAAAACATATAACAACAACAACAACAACAACAGGCTTAGTGGCATACACCTGTGGTCCCAGCTACTTGAGAGACTGAGGCAGGACAATGGATCACTTGAGCCCAGAAAGTCAAGGCTGTTGTGAGCCATGATTGTGCCACTTCACTCCAGCCTGGGTAACAGAGTGAGATCCTACCTCAAAATAAATAAATAAATAAATAAATAACCCTCTCCGGAAGGTTCTAGGTGTCTGATCTCTGTTCAGTGATGGTAAGAAAGAATGAATGAGTGATTTCAAAGGAGCCGCCTCCCTGGTTCTGAGCCTCTAGGATTCTTGGAGCATGTCCTGATACCTGCACACATACCATCAAGAGTCATCAGAGTTTTATGCTAAGCTCTAACTGCAGAGGTCACTGATCTTTGGGGTAACTGAGTAAGTAGAACCACCCACAGCATGAATTCCTGATGGAACTGGATCATAAGGCATCCGTGGTAACTGAATTCCCGGTGGCTCAAATGTGTACTAACATCTGAAGGCACCAATAGACACAAGCTCCCTTTTTCTTCCCAAAGGTTGAGGTGGGGCCCAGCTTCCTGTCAAGAGTCTGGACGCTGGGGTCAGACTGGGTTCAAATCCTGACTCTTCCTCATGCTGGCACCATGAGCCTGAGCAAGTTGCTTCACCTCTTCAGTTTCCCCATCTGTAAAATGGGAATAAAAAAACCCAGCTCCTAGACTGATGGTGAAGATGGGAAATAATTCAGGCGTTAAGAATTCAGAACAGGTCTTGATTCCTATGTGTTAGCCATTGTGGGTTCTTGTGTGGGATCCAGGTTTTAAATTGAGTTTTGGAAAAGTCAGATTGCAGAATCTGCAACTTCTAGGTAATTGACGTGTTCTGGTGTATTTTTCCCTTCTCGGAATTCCTATCCCGCTCACCATCTGTTTTATGTGATCTTACGCTTAATTACAATTCTCCATCTATTGTTCTCCCATTGTTTTCCGTGTGCTCCGCTTCTCTTGCCGACAGCATGGGGCGGCTGCCTGAATGAATGAACGACTCACACCTGACTTCATTTCACTGGGCCTTGAAATAGAGTTGCCTGTGTGTCTGTCGCCCCCACCTGACTGTGAACTTCTCAGTGTTTACCTGTTTCATCCTTGGGCACCTCCTGGCAGCACCTGGCATCATGCCCGGCACCTAGTAGGTGTCAGGAAATGTTTGTAGAATTTAATTAAACTTAACCGGAGTAAACACCCCCTGCAGGAAGGAAAGGCCCATACCTCTTTATTTTCTCTGCCTCCCTCCCTGCGCATGGCCCAAGGCTGGGTAAGTCAGAGTTGACAGCTTTTCCCAAGTGACGCTCTAAGAGTCTGGCTCCTGTCCTGCTGATTATCGGGAGGTTACGGAAACAATAGCAGAAATCACAATAATAGCAAATTCCTACCATATGCTAAGCCCTTTCCTATGCATTAGCTGGTTTCGTCCTGCAAATATGTCTGCAAGTATTAATATTATTCCCATTTAGCAAATAGGGGAACCGAGGCTCACAGTTTTGGTGACTTGGGCAAGGACGTAGCTCTGGTGGTGGCTGAGCTGGAATTCAGACCCAAGAGTGCCTGATGGCCCAGTGCCTGCCCCTTGCGATGCCCCATAGTGTCTGGGAGCAAGGGCTTTGGCAAACCAGCTAGGGGCAGTGGGTGAGGAGAGAAGGGTGGGAGGAGTGGCCAACCAAAATAAGCCAACTTCCAGAAGGGAAGGGAGGGAAGAATCCTGGCTCCAAATAGTTATCCAGCTGCCCCCATTCGAGTGCACAGTACCCCCCTCCCTAGCCGAAATTCCCACTCTGTTTTCAGTTTCTCCCAGATGCAAGTCAGATTATGTCACTGCTCTCACTGAAAACCTTCAGTACCTCCCCATTGCTCTCAGAATAAAGAAGAAAATTCCATAATCTGTGCTTTAAATCGGCCCTCTGGGGGCTAGGACAGAGGAAGGGTGGTGGGGAAAGCCTGAAAGCGTAGCTGTTGCTGGTTTTTGGGATGTGAAGATACTCACTGTGACCTGTCTCAAGTTACAAACTGTTAACCGCTGGTTCACAGAATTCCCGAAAATGTCACAACCTGCTCCAGCATACCACTTCAAGTCATAATCCCCCCGACAGCACCCCACGTTGTCTGTGCCCTGCCCATCTGCCCAGCCCTGCTGGGCACCACATTCCCCCTGGCCTGCCCTGCTTTCTCCTGGCCAACCTACTGCCAGGCCTTGGCACAAAAATAAGCCAGGCATGGTGGCACACACCTGTGGTCCCAGCTACTTGAGAGGCTGGGAATCTCAGGGCTTGTGAACACCCAAGGTGTTAAAACTCAAGCTCCCTCCACCTTGCCGTGCTGTCTCCCACCCACTCTTGTTATCTCAGATCACAGAGCAACGTGGGTGCCTCGGCAGTGTTTGCCTGGAACTCCCAGGCTCGGGCAGAGGCGCCTCAACACACTGTGATACCTCCGGGGGTCTGAGGTACTTCACACTTTGATCTGTTCCAGCCCTTGATTTCTGTGTGTCTTCTGCACTAGAAGCTCTAGCGGGGAAGGGCTCTTGTCTATATTCCTTACCTCACCTTCCTCACTGTAGGGGATGCCAATGGCACCCCCTGGAGTTCTGCAATATCTACCTTCCCCCGCCCCGAGCACCCAGCATGGACCTGGCCCATCTTAGGTCATCAGTGGCTCCTCCTGACTCTCCCAGTTAAGCCCTTGTCTTCCTGTGCTTCCTTTCGGGGCAGCTCCTCCCACCTCCATTGAAGTGGTGGCCGCTGACACGCCAGCCCCCTTCAGCCGCTACCAAGCCCAGAACTTCACGCTGGTCTGCATCGTGTCTGGAGGAAAACCAGCACCCATGGTGAGTACACCTGGAGCGCCCAGCTCCTTCCCATCTGCCGGACCACCCTGCTCCGGGGCTGGTCCAGCTGCAGGGGTCTTCACTGTGCCTGGGGAGGGAGTGGTTGGTCAGGGCTGACTGTCCCCATCTGCCTTGGTCTGATCCCGTTTACCCATCGGACCGGCCCAGTCATCCATGTGCCCCTGTTGCTCCCCATCTCCCCATGCTGAGAACCCCCACTCCTCCTGGTGGCAGAGTCCTAGACCTTCACAGCAGGGGTGGCCTTCCGGGGAGCCCAGCATCCAGCATGCCTGACCTGTTATTGAGTCCCATGGAGACAAATGAAAGGAGGCCCCTAGAGGAAAAGGGGCTTGTCCCAAGTCACCATGGCGCTGCTGACAGAGCTGGGACTCAAGTCCATGTCTTGAGCCCCAAGTTCGCTGCCCTTCCCAGAAGCCCTCGTGGTCAGCAGGAAGCCCATCTGAAAGAAGGAGGGAGAGGATGAAAGGGGGAGATGAAAGAGAGAAAGGAAGGGAGAGAAGAGAGAGGAAATTCCTTTTTTTTTTTTTTTGAGCAGGAGTCTCTGTCGTCCAGGCTGGAGTGCAGCGGCATAATCTCAGCTCACTGCAACCTCCGCCTCCCAGATTCAAGCGATTCTCTTGCTTCATCCTCCTGAGTAGCTGGGACTACAGGCGCATGCCACCATGCCCGGCTAATTTTACGTATTTTTAGTAGAGACGGGGTTTCGCTGCGTTAGTCAGGATGGTCTCCATCTCCTGACCTCGTGATCCTCCCGCCTCAGCCTCCCAATGTGCTGGGATTACAGGCGCGAACCACCTCGATCGGCTGGAAATTCCTTTTTGACCAACTTATTAGCTCCAACATAGTTTCCTTTGACATTTGTCAGTGCAGTTCATGAGATTTTTCGTGGCCTCTTGAAGGGGTTCAGGTAGGGGGTGCAGCATCCGGAGAGCTAGGCCCTGCTGTACTCACTGAACAACCATGAGCAGGAAATCCCCCTCCCCACCTCTGCCTCTATTTCTGCAAGAAAGTTGAGGGGACTGGACAATATTAGTTTTTCAGCTTTTTTAAAAGCAGCAGGACCCTTTTGGTCTAAATAATATGCTGGGAGGCCTCATCTATGTGACATTTAAAAGTGAAGTCACCCTCATTGATACCTGAAGCCCCTCTTCAGAACCCGTAGGGTTACATGAAACCCATTTGGAGAATGTTCGGGCTGCGTACCCTTTCAGCTTTGACATTTTATGACACTTTGAGTCTTGAGCCTGTGAGTTCTGTACAGTACTAGGATTTATCAAGGAGTGGAGGTACAGCAATGGGTCCGTAGAGCTACAGTTCAAGATGGGAGCCAAATGGTTCCCTTCATTCCAGACCCACTGTCTCACAGGCATGGCTCAGTGGTGTGGCTTGGGAATCTAGGCCAGCCCTGCCTCAGGACCTGGGGTGGGGTGGTAAATGGGTATGCAGAGGCCCAGGACAGGGGAGTAAGCAGGTGCACAGAGGCACAGGTGGGGCAGTGGGCAGGGGAGTAGAGAAACAGGTGGGGCAATGGGCGGGGGCACAGAGGCACAGGTGGGGTGGTGGGCAGGGGTGCCAGATGGGGTGGGGCAGTGGGCAGGAACACAGAGACACAGGTGGGGCAGTGGGCAGGAACACAGAGACACAGGTGGGGCAGCGGGCAGGAACACAGAGACACAGGTGGGGCAGCAGGCAGGGGCACAGAGACACAGGTGGGGTGGTGGGCAGGGGTGCCAGATGGGGTGGGGCAGTGGGCAGGAACACAGAGACACAGGTGGGGCAGCAGGCAGGGGCACAGAGACACAGGTGGGGCAGCAGACAGGGGCACAGAGACACAGGTGGGGCAAAGGGCAGGGGCGCAGAGACACAGGTGGTGCAGCGGGCAGGGGCGCAGAGACACAGGTGGTGCAGTGGGCAGGGGCACAGAGACACAGGTGGGGCAGCGGGCAGGGACGCAGAGACACAAGGGGGATGGTGGGCAGGGGCACAGAAACAAGCCTCAGCCCCTAGGAAACAGACCAGAAAAGGTAGCTTCAAAGCCAGTTGCTGAAAGCAAGACATGCCCCCAAATCTTCCCCTTTGGAGGCCATTAAGAGGTCCAGTCGCCCTAAAATCAGGAAGGCTGCTTTTTTCTCACAAAGAAAAAATCCTTTCCTGACAGGCACCAAGAAAGACTTTTCACAGCCCAGGGGCTGCAGGAAGGCACCCTCCTAGCCATCCTGTCTGCCTGCCCTGACATTTGTGAACTGGCAATAAAATATTCAGATATAGATATGTAAAAGAACTTCATCTCCCCAAATCCCAGCCATCTTATGTTTACCTGAGACGTCACAACTTTAAAGAAATTCTTTGATATAAATTACAAACCTGCATTTAAAGCACTTTTTTAAAAGAAGAAGAAAATAAATGGGGGAAAAAAAATAGTGCAGGCTTTTGAGTGCACCTAAGAGATTGTTCATTGATGTTACAAACTCTGACAAAAGTCCCACATTTCATACCCCCATCCCCTCCCACCTCCTTCCCCGCCCTGCAGCCCCTCCCCCCACACACTTTCCTTCCCCTCCCCCACCTGCGTCCCACTCTTCCCTCCCCCAGCCCCCTATTGATTTAGTTATCTGATTTATTAAAAATACACCCAGTCCCCACAGGCCTCTGGGCACATGTACCAAAATAAAACCACAGCAAATTAAATTAAATGCCGCCTTGCAAAACTCGAGTTCCCCATTAGCAGAGAAAGCGAGGAGACGTTTGCTCACCTCATGCCTGCACCTAGCTTCCTCCCATACATGCACCTGTTTTCTGCCTTCCATCTCCAAAACGCACAAGCACACAGATTCTTTCTTCTCTCATCCTCTCCCAACATCTCATTTAATCTCCGGTGCCTTCCATTTTCCCCTTCATCCCCATGCCCTCTTCGAGTGGGCATGGGCCACCCCCTCAGAGCCCAGGTGGCTGCCGTGGTATAGGGCAAGGCCCCCATTTCCCACGGGGTTCCACAGAAGCATCCAACAGCCCCATGAAGCAGGTGTCTTATTCATCTTGACAAGTGAGGAAGCTGACACTCAAAAAGGCCGGTCAGTTGGTAAATGAGGATTGGGCTAAGCCTCTGCCCCAGGGGCCTGCATGTGTTCCCATTGTACCACACTGGCTCCTGGTTGGTGGGGGTGTTGGAAGGAAAGGAGTGGGGTGAGGGCGACTGTCCAGACTGCTATGCTCTGGAAGAACTGGCATCCTGTGCCCAGTTCATCAGAGAGCCTATGGGGAGGTTGAAGTTTGTAGCACAAAATCTTTCTCCACACCCTCCTTGCAATGGCAGGTTTATTTCAAACGAGATGGGGAACCGATCGACGCCGTGCCCCTGTCAGAGCCTCCAGCTGCGAGCTCCGGCCCCCTCCAGGATAGCAGGCCCTTCCGCAGCCTTCTGCACCGTGACCTGGACGACACCAAGATGCAGAAGTCACTGTCCCTCCTGGATGCTGAGAACCGGGGTGGGCGACCCTACACAGAGCGCCCCTCCCGTGGCCTGACCCCAGATCCCAACATCCTCCTCCAGCCAACCACAGAGAACATACCAGAGACGGTCGTGAGCCGTGAGTTCCCCCGCTGGGTCCACAGCGCTGAGCCCGTCTACTTCCTGCGCCACAGCCGCACCCCGGGCAGCGACGGCACGGTGGAAGTACGCGCCCTGCTCACCTGGACCCTCAACCCACAGATCGACAACGAGGCCCTCTTCAGCTGCGAGGTCAAGCACCCAGCGCTGTCAATGCCCATGCAGGCAGAGGTCACGCTGGGTAAGGCTTGGTGGGGGACTTCTGTAGAGCCCTTGCAGACCTGTGTGTGGGGAGAGCCTGGGAATGGGGTTCCTGGGCTGAGGGCAGCCATAGAGATGGGGAGGAGATGGAGCAAACTGGAGTCAGGATGAGCACAAAGGGTAGAGCCAGGGTTCTTAGGAATGGAAGGTACCCACAGGCAAAGGAATTTTGCTAGGTTGAGCCAAGAACATGAGTGGTCAGAGGTGTTTGCTCAATAGCATCGGGGATACAGTATCAGGGGAGGTCAGAGGAGTTGCTGGATTAGGTCAGGAACGTGAGAGGTCTGGGAAGTTTTCTGGATAGATCAGAAACAAAAGATGGAGGAGATTTGCTGGGTTGGGTCAGGCACACGAGAGATTGGGGAACAGGGGAATTGCTGGATTGGGTCAAGAACATGAGAGGTTGGGGAAGGGCAGGGGAGTCTCTCAGTTGGGTCAGGCACACAAGAGGTTGGGGAAGAGCAGGCGAGTCGCTGGGTTGGGTCAGGAATACCAGAGGTCAGGGAGTTTGCACAGTCAGGATAAAAATTTTGGAAAGTCAGAGAAATTTGCTGGATCGGTGTTCAGAACAGGAGGTTTTCTAGGTCAAAAATGGAACCAGGAAGTCATAGGGAGGTTTGCTGGCTAAATGAAGAATACACGAGTCAGGTTTCTTCAGGAAGGGTGGCTGAGTCAAGTCAGAAGCATAGAAGGTCAGCGTGAAGACCAGGGGAGGCCATTGAGTCAGCCTCAAGAGCACAAGAGATCAGGGGACATTTGTCAGGTCAAGGAGAGGAGCACTGAGGTCACGGCCTGCTCAGGGAAGTTTTCTCCATCACAGGTGCGAGCATGGGAGGTGACAGGAAGATTTTCTGGATTGCGTATGAGCCCAGTGAGCTCAGAGGACATTGCTGCACAAGGGTTGTGAAGCTGTGAGGTTGCAGGCTTGCTGGGTCAGGTTCGGGAATTCTGAAAGTCACAGGAAGCTTTGCCAGCTTGGGGTCAGGAACACATAGGACGTGGGAGGATGTCACTCTGGCTTACACTTTTAAGTACAATGAAAACCCTGTCATCTGTGGATATGTGGGAGGCAGGCAAAGAGGACACTGGGTACACAGAGCCAGTTCAGCCCTAGAACCCAGTCCCTGTCTGTGATCTGCTCCTCTCCTCACAGAGCCCCAGCCCAGGGGTCCCCAAAGCAGTTCCCTGAGAACTCACTCCCTTCCCCCTTACACTCCTCCTCCCAGCTGACTTGGGCAAGGAAAGGGAAGATGTGGGATCTTTTCTGCTGAAAATATACCGGACTCATGTCCGGTTGTTTCATGGACGGGGTGGGCGAGGGCAGGGGATGGGCACAAAGACCTGCACTTGCCCTTTCGCCTTTGTCCTTTGAACCTTGAGCTGCAGCCCCCAGCAGCTTCTCCCTGAGCCTGAGATGCCTGAGCTCGTCCCCCAAAACACCCATAGTGTTCAGGGGCTGCATGAAGCAGTCCACAGTCTCTAACCCAGACCACTCATGACCAAGGACTGAGAGTAGTGGCTGACAAGAATTGGGACTGTGGCTTGTGTGAGATGTTCCAGAGGGCTTCTGTTTCAGCTGGACCACCAGAAAACCCAACACCTCCTCAGTACCAAATACCAAAGAAATGGATTTCTTGTACAGATAGTATGTACTGTGTGCCAGAAACATCTGCAAGGATTCTCATCCAGTCCTCACAGGCACAAGTTGACCATGTAGCCCCATTTTGCAGATGAGCAAAACTGAGGCTCACGTTGGTGGAGTCCCTTGCAACGTCATTAACTTTGTGTGTAACAGAGTTGATATTATTGGTGCCTTCTTCACTCACTTCTATGCCAACCGCTGAACTCACCAGCTCCAGGACCGGGTGCCTTGGCTGATTATCGGACTGGTTGCCTGGAAGCCATTAAAATGGCTCTTTGATTTTTTTTTTTTTTTTCTCTCTTTTTTTTTTTTTTTTTTTTTTTTTTTTTTTTTTTTTTTTTTTTTTTTTTTTTTTTTTTTTTTTTTGTTGTTGTTGTTGAGACAGTCTCACTCTGTCACACCCGGGCTGGAATGCCGTGGGCGATCTTGGCTCACTGCAACCTTAGCCTCCTGGGTTCAAGAGATTCACCCACCTCAGTCTCCCAAGTGTCTGGGATTATAAGTGCCCATCAACATGTCCAGCTAATTTTTTTTTTTTTGTATTTTTAGTAGAGATGGGGTTTCACCATATTGGCCAGGCTGACCTCAAACTCCCAACCTCAAGTGATCTGCCTGCCTGGGTCTCCCAACATGCTGGGGTTACAGGCGTGAGCCACCACACCCAGCAGCCCTTTGATTTTCACAGGCCACCTGCCTATACAGAAACTAATAATAAAGGCTAACATTTACTGAGCACCTACTGTATGCCACAGACTGTGGTTTCTCTCATATTAACCCAGTGAGGCAAGAACCATTATTATCCCGTATCACAGAAGAGGAAACTGAGGCTCAGGGAGCTGAAGTTGCCCAAGGTGAGTGGGGAGAATTCAAAGGCTCCAAAGTCTGCTCCGTACGTCTCACTCTGCCTCCTCATGGCATCCGTTTGTACAGGTGCCCACTCCCTGGGTGCTGTTTGCTCATCATTCCGTAAAGATATCACAAGCATCACTTAAGGCCAGGTCCTGTGCTACGTGCTAGGATCTTCTCAACCCAGAGCCTGATCTGACCCCTCTCTTGGCCTTCCCAGCTTGCCAGCCCTTCACCCCTCTCTCTGGACCCTCCATCCTTCCATGGCCTCTCCCTCCCCAGACAGAACAGCCTTCACCGTTCACCCGGTTGCTTCGCTTATGAAAGTCCCCTCCTGCCCCTCTTGTGGAAGCTTCCAGCGGGGTGACACCCTTGCTCCACCCCCCCAAGAACAAGAATGAGAAAGATGAAAGGCCAGATACGGACTTCAGCAGCTGGTGAGAAGTGGGCTTGTAGCTGACATGTCCTAGTGATGGGATGGGGTGTGCTCCTGCTGGCCTATGTGACCCCTACCACCAGCACCCCACACCACATTAAAGCACTTGCTGGCTGTGTCCTTGATCCCAGACCCTCCCTTCACTGGAGCCACCTCTGTGGGCATCCCAAGCCCCCATCATCAGAGCAAGGGAAAGAAGTGTCCACTCATAAGCAGCGGGCCTGGACAGGCAGGTCTGCGCATACCGGGAAAGTTGGGGCATGGGGGACACAGCAGGGCCACCAAGGTGAAGGGTCCTAATTGGGTGGGTGAGTAAAGAGACGCCTGGGCTGACTTCCTAGCCTCCCTCAACTGCTGTGTGAGAACTCAGACCTCTTAATGTCTCTGAGACTCTGTTTTCTGACCTATTGAAAGGGGAGAATAGTAACTGCACAAATGTTTTGGGCATCTGCTCAGAGCCAGCCTCTCTGCAAGATGCTTTCCTCACCAGATCTCCCTGAAATCTGTAGTGAACCCGTGAGGCCTCGGAAAGATGCTATCTTATTATTCCCATCTGAGAGATGAGGGACTCAGGCTTACAGTAACCTTCCTGGCTGTCTGGCCCCAGAACCCACGTTCTTAACCACTGTGCTATACAGCCCACCTGTCAGGGCTGTGGTGAGGTGTCACTGAGCCAGGGGGTGTGACCAGTGGAGAGTGCCATGAGCCAAAGGGTCATGAGGGTGTGCACCTCCACAATCAGGGCACCCTGTACTTGGGGTGAGACAGTGGGATGGATGAGATGACCTCAGGGCACAAAATCCAATCATGATCAGGCTGATGAGGGTGGGGCGTGTCTCCTTGCAAAGAGCCTTTGCTCCTGCTCTTCCCTTGCAGGGATGCCCTCTCCAGCTCACATGCCACCTCTCCAGGAAGATTTCTCTGACCCTCCCCCAGCCCTCCAAGCTGTTTGTGCCTCTTCTGACTTCCTGTCTCACCAGATTTGTGCCTTTCTTGTGATCTGGACCACAGACGCCTAGGTGTCCTGGTACCCATCTCACTAAATGGCAACTACGTTCTCCCCATTGATCAAACCAGAAACCTTGCAGCCACCCACCTTTTCCACTCTTTTCTTCTGTCCCACATGCAAGCCATCATTAAGCCCTGGCAGCTCGACCTCGGAATATATCCCAAACCTGCCACTCCTCAAGATCTCCTCTCCGAATACCCAACCCAAGCACCATCAGTTCAAGCCTGGGTTATTAAAGCAGCCTTCAAAACTGGTCGTTCTGCTTCTACTTTTCCCCTATTCTATTTCCCACCCTGATTGATCTACTTAAAATATAAATCAGATCATGACACCCACCCAGAACCTTCCCATGGTAGACAAATAGATTGCTAAAACAGATCAGAGTCCAGAAATAGACCCACATACACAGAATTCATTGATTTTTGCCAAAGACCCAAGGCCGTTCAATGAGGAAAGAGTTCTCTTAACAAATGACCCTGAAACAAATGAATACACATAAGGAAAAATTGAACCTGGACCCCCTACCTCACATACACATACAAAAATTAATTTGAAATGAATCATAGATTTAAATGTAAAAGCCAGCATCATGAAGTCTCTAGAACAAAACACAAAAAAGTTTTTAATGAGTTACAAAGAGACTTAGAATCCCACACAATAATAGTGGGAGATTTTAACACTCCGCTGTCAATGTTAGACAGATCAACAAGACAGAAAATTAACAAGGCTATCCAGGACTTGAACTCAGACTTGGACCAAGCAAAGTTAATAGACATTTACAGAACTCTCCACCCCAAATCCACAGAATATACATTCTTCTCAGCAAAAACCGAAATAAAAACTAAATGATAAATTGAAAATTGGCAAATTGAACTTAATCAAAAATTAAATCTTCTGCTTTTTTTTAAGATATCCTTGAGAAAAATGAAAGGCACACTATAGAATGAGAGAAAATACTCTCATACACATATCTGACACAGCATTTGTAACCAGAATATAGAAAGAACCATGACAAATCAATAATGTAAAACTACCCAATTTTTAAAA